CACGCGCGCATCAGTTTTGGGGTTCCCAGAGGATGTCATCCATATAATCAAATCAACATGGCCTAAGCAACAGGTGGAACTTCTCACAATGCCCTGCTCTAACGTACAATGTATACCTACGAGATTAATAGGGGGTAGTGCATTACGAATCCATTCACGGCACGAAAAACCATATTTAAGCATGCTTAAATCGTGCTTAAAGGCGGCGTAATTTCCATCTTTACGCACCTTTCCGGCACCTTTCCGTGTACGTAAACATTGTCTTTACGTGCCCTTTCCGTAGTACTGGAAAGATACGTATTTGCACTACTTTAGCGGTGCCTTTACGCACCTTTTATGTCCGTAAAGGCTTTGTAAATTATTCCTTTAAGTATCGTTTACGGACCTATTTTGGTCGGAAAGCATGCGTTTACTTAAAATTTAAGAGGTCTTTCAGCTGCCTTTAAGTCCCTCGTAAACATTGTCTTTACGTGCCCTTTCCGTAGTACTGGAAAGATACGTATTTGCACTACTTTAGCGGTGCCTTTACGCACCTTTCATGTCCGTAAAGGCTTTGTAAACTATTCCTTTAAGTATTGTTTACGGACCTTTTTTGGTCGGAAAGCATGCGTTTACTTAAAATTTAAGAGGTCTTTTAGCTGCCTTTAAGTCCCTCGTAAACATAATGTCTTTACGTGCCCTTTCCGTAGTACTGGAAAGATACGTATTTGCACTTTAACAGTGCCTTTACGCACCTTTTATGTCCGTAAAGGCTTTGTAAACTATTCCTTTAATCACTGTTTACGGACAATTTTAAGCTTTAAGTTGCCTTTCCGAACATTTGAATCGGCTGTGCATAACCTTAACTTACGTCGGTATATGTGAATATGATGACAGAAACAGATATGATCTGAGAACAATTTATTGAGTAAAACATACAAAATACAATGATTCCTAATAAAATGTTTTAGAACAAGATGTTAGCTCATACTATATTGTCACATTATTACGTATCCCTCCCCAGCTGCAGATTACGTATAATGAAAACAGTTCAAAATAATACTTTTCTAAACTAAGCTCACCAATACAAGGAATTGACTACTTGTATCTCCAAACATATATTTGATCAGCTCCCTCGTATACGGCGTTTTGTGAAAGCTTTCTCCTCCGTCCTCCTGGCTGTTGTCAGACGGGCCGAGCCGGGCTGAGAGTCGTGTTGTCGTTGCCGCTGCTTAGAAGCCCCTGGATCCTTTGCGACTGGGCCTCCACCAATTTCAACATATTCTAAAGAATTCGAAAAAATTTTCTTGCCTTTCCTCGCTCCATGAGATTCTCAACTTCAGTCATAATGTCTCAATTAGAAGGAGGGTCGACGTGTCTTCGAAATAGACGCCATAAAAATGAGTTGAGTCCGGTAGATTTGAACCTCGCTGTCTTGTATCCCATTGGGTACCGCCCTATCACATGACACGTTCCTCATTGGGTGTCTGCATATGGATACTTTGTAAGTTCACGCGAAGGACATAAAAGTAATGTAAGTTTTGTCATGCTTCACAAATAAAGCAAAATGAAAGTGCGAAGCCGTCTGGGCGATAAACTCGTTTATCTATTTGCCATTTGGAACATGTTTAGACGTTAAAAAAACAAGCTACGAAACGAAACATTTGCCTTTCAGAGGCCTTTACGAAGTCGTAAAGTCAACTGAAATATTTCCCACCTTTAATACTTCTTTACATATGCGGAAAGTTTGCTTAAATGTCTTTATATATTTACGTCGTATTTAAGCGCGCTGAAAGGTGGCGGAAAGGCGGACTTTGTCTTTCAGTGGCCTTTACGAAGTCGTAAAGTCAACTGAAATATTTTCCTACCTTTAATACTTATTTACGCATTGCGGAAAGTTTGCTTAAATGTCTGTATATATTTACGTCGTATTTAAGCCCACTGAAAGGTGACGGAAAGGCGGAATTTACCTTTCAGCAACCTTTACGAAGCGTAAAGTCAACTTAAATATTTTTCCACCTTTAATACCTCTTTACATATTGCGGAAAGTTTGCTTAAATATCTGTTTTCGTGCTGTGATTCTCGCACGACAGAGCATATATACCTTGGGGACATGGCCTTGGGGGAGTGTACGAATCACGCCCAGCGTTTACGTTAACGATCAATTTATAGAGCGGTCTGATGGCGTAAAACCACGACTGATCACCCTACATACCGCTCAGTAAGAATTGACTAAAGTAGTAGAAGCGTCAACAGTTGCCTGACGAGAGATAACACTGTTTGATTAAGGGTGTTAAGAGCAGAGTGACCGTGTTTGCGAAACACGTCTACAGCTGCCTGGGCCGTTAAACACACAAAAGATTTCTCCCGGCCCTTAACAGTATTTAAATAGCGTTGACCCTAGAGGTCGCCAACAGTCTGAAGTAGACTGCGGGACAGGGTCAGTCGCTGCCGGGTCAACGTTACATCAGATAGCGAATACGTACGTATACCTCCAAAGGCACGGCAGTATTCTACGTTCGCAGTGAGCTTTTTAAAACACCAGAAAAATGCCAGGTAAGTGTTCAGTTGCCCATATATTACTGAGTGCGACGAGGCTTGTTTAATAGCTTGAGGTCAGTCGTGGGTGTCTATAATTCCCGTATGGTCTTCTGGTTCATACCATTGGCCCATATGGTAGTAGTTCACTAATTGTGTTTGTCATATATTCAAGGTAAAGGGCTGAGGCGTCATCTCAATAAGTGAATGCTCAGTATATACTTCGCATTTACGTCCTTGCTTGAGGTGTTGTTTTAGTTTGAACGGTGTGTTTTTCAAAGAGTACCGCGTTGGTACGGACGACTGTGACAACTTCAGAACTTATTATACGAGGATAACGTTATACATAACACTATTCCGTCGCTATAAATTTCTAGACACTTCACCAACGACACTTGCAGACGATTTATCCCCTCTTTGAGCTGGAGACGTGACGAGACGTCTGCCCAGGTCTCCTTGAGCCCCCCCCGTGCAAACATACGGGACAACAGAGGCACAAATGGGCTTCTGAGGTCGGGTTACTGGCGTGTTGAATAGTGACACTGTGACAGCATAGGGTTCTCCGTTAGAACTGGCAAATAAACTATTTCCATTAATGCCACCGGCATACCGCCTAAGTTCTGCTCTCGTGGCAAACAAACTAAACACTGATCATGAGGGTATTTTACTTACAGCCGCACTTCAAATAGAAGCGGGTCTGGGTTCTAGTAAACTCAGTGATCAAATAGCCTAGTAGTTACCAAACGTTACCTATTATAGCTCCCGAGTCCTACATCCTATCCGCAAAATGTAGGACTCGGGAGCTATAATAGGTTTGGTAACCAGGCTAGTGATTAAACAGTGGCTGCAGAGTATTCGGGGCAGTATGCTTGTATGCTGTAAATGCCGTACGCGTACCCTGAAATTATATTGCCCTCAAATCGGGTCACGTATTTTGTTCAGCCCAGGTGTGTTACGAGTACATACTGCCCGGCTGTTCAGCAAAGTGTGACATTTATGAGTTTATACATCAGCACCACGGTAGACTTCATTGTTTTATGTTGAAATCTTGACAGGACGACAAGAACAGCGGGATGTCGGGTCGGGGACAGCCGATGAGCCCAGACAGACGCATCCCTCAAGAACAACGTCGTCATCCAACAACCGGTATCCTGCAGGACGTCATCCGATAGCGGCCTCCTTTACCTCACAGAACGGGCCCAAACGGTACGCAGAGCCGGCTGCAGAGGTCCCAGGCATGGTCTGAGGAGATGAATGAACGTGACATAGAGACACCACCCTTCAGCTTTCTTAGAATTCAGGACTCTTTGACTTGTAGATCATGATTGTCATCTGTCATTGTTGACTGCAACCATGTGCGCGTTTTTTGTCGAGAGTTGTTTATTTGATGCAGTGAAACATGGGAAAATACAACATATGAAATAGAAATGCATAGTAAATTGAACCATGCCGCATATGCATATGCATTATCATCATCAACATCTACGTACAAATATGTGGTTATGCGACAAGCCTTTGGTTGAAAGCATCTGCGTTTGCTAGCTGTGTGTCGTGCGTATAGCGTTATATCTTTGAGCTGTTGCCAAATACTTTTGTGAAACGGACAACAACATCAATACTGGAATCCCAAACCTGCCACGTACGTGTCTTATCTGTATGTTGTTCACCCTTACTGTAAGCAGTTTAAATACCACAGCTATCGTTTAATGAATTCTATGTTGCGTCCTGTACATATATGTAAACTGGTATGTTATACAGTATAGCCTAAATAATGTAACAGTTAGAATGTATCTGATATTGAGCTAAGTATCATATCTAAATCAAATGTTAATTAAGAATGAAAGATGCTATATTTGAAATGTGTTGATATATGGGATGTTCATTTGAATAATGAGACGTGTATCAAGTATTATGCCAATAAAAACTTTCCTAAACAACTAATGACAGAGACTTCTTCGGGTCATCTTTGGTATGCAGAGGGAAACATTATAGCGGGTGAATGTGGGGACAAAGACTTTTTCATCGAGAGAAAGCTGGCAGTCAGAGGACTCTACGAAATACATGTACTTAGGACTAGTACTAGTATACAGAATTTCCTAGAGAAATCGCTAGAGTGCAGCCATGCACGGACACCATGATACGTCGACTTTACGTCCTAGCAGGCAAATTGGAAAGCAGCGAAGACGTACACGTACAGTGTATGCAGTATTTTCTTCTTATTAACATAGCCAACAAATTATTTTTGGAATAGCGTAAGCTGCAATATTGCTCATGATGAATTTAAGGTATTGCATACATCATCACCAATGTTGTTTGCTCAGGTGAAGTATTACTGAGCTTATAAAATTTTCACCATTGTAAACCAAAGTAAGTCACTCACTCACTAACTTTGTTATCGTCGATATTATCATAAGCAATACCACTGAAATCCGCTAGATGACGCGCGTGATTGGTCGAGGCATGACCTGACCTGACCTTTGTACCGTCAACATATGGTTTCAGCACACACAGATTTCAGCAGAACTTAGCAAAAAGTAAGTTACTGCTGATGTTGTGCGCATCATTCCCATTGATGGCAGACAAATTAGGTATCATATTAGTTGACTTATACGCAAGTTGATAACGTATGATGTTTGAAATAACGTAAACTTTGTGGATCATTTATGAGTTTTTGACAGTTGTGTTTGGGGGAGGGGGAGCTCGATGGAAACATGCAAATATATTATAGTCTAGTATGATCAGAGCAAAGTATTTATAGCATACAGAAGACAGCGGGGACAGTGTATACAGATAAGTGTATAGGACGATGTAGTGAGGATTAAGAGAAAAAGATTTTTTGTAGCAAAAGGACCGCTGTTGCCGGGGTTATTCTTACCCAGCCGAAATTATCAAACTTGCAGTACATTTTGCATAGATTTGAGCAAGGAGGTCTTTGATTATATATATGTAAATAAGTAAAGGTAATTCTGTTTACAGTGATCTACAAGGACTGAGATCACGAGAACATCAGGCACAACATGGCGCAGCCACTCAGAGGAATCACTGAAATCTTCATAGTGTGATATTTGCATCAGCAAGGCCGTTTTATAAATATCTTGCATCTGATGAGTGACGGTCGTACCAGAACAGATCATACTTTACATGACAAATATCTGTGCAATTACTTAGTGTAAGATTATGATTTGACCTGAACCAGATTTAACACGCAGAAGAAACAGAAACAAGACAAGTAATTTTTGTGTCATGAACATTGTGTAAAAGTTAACATCTCCATTTGTTACAATGGACCCAAAAGGTCAATTTATTGACATCTGAAAACCAACAGTACCGACATTATGTCAGCACTGCAAGACTGTAAGAACAGCTCAGATATTTTAGACTGTTGAAGATGGCGGCAGGGGCAGCTGATGTCCACAGTATAGTGACCCAGGCCAGACGGGAGAGACACCTGATTCTGAACCTGAACTACAGTCACCTCAGCACACTTCCTGCAGAGCTGGTGCAGGGAGAAGCTTTCACCTTCCTGGAGAGACTGTTTGTGAAGAGGAATGTCCTGGTCTCACTGGTGAGGACACTGATCACCAACTGATGTTAGGGTGGAAAATCTTAATAATGCTTTCCTACACCATCCACAATTGTCAGAAATAGTCTGGGTGCCATCCGTTTTGTAACACTAACAGGGCCCCTTGCACCACCACTTGGGGTAGCGAGTTCAGGGGGCCCTGATACAAAATGGATGGTACCCAGGCTATGTCAGAGAAGCCTAGCAGTCAGATAATGTTACAGCGTCTAAGGGGATTAAGTGTGCACTGTCATCTCTGATTGCCTTATCCGTAATGCAGATGCACCATGCACTGCTGCCATTAACAACAGAAAAGTTTTGCAACAGTAACCTTTAAACTGAAAGGAAGTTAATTGAAGAATACAATTTTCAAACAGCGTGTCAGTTAAACATTTCATATGTCAGTCAAGTACGAGTTCCTAAAGTTGCCTTAAATGAACACATACATTTGGTGCTACCAGAATCAACATCAATGGTAGAGCAGGAGACCATCTAGTACATACACACAGGATTCAGTACTGAACCAAATTACTAAATTCTTTTTTCAGCCATTCAACATTGCTGAGACACTGCCAAATCTAGTTGAATTGTGAGTAATTTTGTGTAACAATTTGATCATTCTATTTGATTGTTCCTACTTTTTGCACTATAACAAATAATACTAAGGCCATGTTGATTTGATTATATGGATGACATCCTCTGGGAACCCCAAAACTGATGCGAGCGTGCGAATAAAAAAAAAGTTTTGCAAAAAAAAAAGTTGCTTTCATTATGAAATCTACGTGGTCATGAAGGTTGAATAAAGGGCACAGAGTATCGTTCTACTCTTCAAGTTCATTTCTTGACATTTTCGTCTTTTTTGTTTGATTTTTGGCATTCTACGACATTGGTATCGTTTTCAAATATTTTTTTTTGCAACTTACGGTATAAATTTGTTCATTTTGCAACTGTTTTGCATGATTTACAGTATGGTTGAAACCTTTTTTTTTTTTGGAAACGGCCGAAAATTCATGCGCGCGCGGATGTCATCCATATAATCAAATCAACATGGCCTAAGTGAATACCAATAAATTTTTTTTTCTGGTTCATTTCCAGGTATTTGCATTCAAACAACCTAGTAGCACTACCCGATGGTACGTAACAAGTTTGTGTTGTTTTAACAAGTTTGCCTTGTAAAAACTTTGGCTGTATCCTATTAAAGGATTTCAATGCTTCCTTTATTGCTCCAAAAATGATGAAAATAGATAAAAAATTAAATGGGTTGCTTTACATAAAACAAGCTAAGTTTGACTGTCTTCAGAATGCATCCATTCTTGCCATTTCACAGAAATTGGAAATTTGCAGAGACTGAAGTCCTTGGACGTCAGCTGTAACAACCTGCAGGTGCTGAGTTCAGCTGTAGGCAGGCTGCAGGTGCTCCAGACGCTCCACCTGGCCGACAACAGCCTGCTGGAGCTCCCGGCTGAACTGGGGCAGCTGAAGAAGCTGCAGACGCTGGACGTGATGCTGAACAAGCTGGCTGTCCTGCCCAGGGAGCTGTGTGGCTGTGAGGCGCTGCAATGTCTCATGGTGGACAGGAACAGGCTCATCAGTCTGCCCAGGTAGGGGCCAGTGTAGCAGGACGGTATGTACCCCTGACCAGAACAGACCCTGGGGAACATTCTGGCCATGGGTATGTTTCGGCCTGCTACACCTTCCACTTTTGCCATACAACAGCAAATCGAGGGCATTTTTTTGTAACTTTCGAGGGGAGGATGGGTCGTAAAATATTCAGCTGTTGTCATAGATCCTTCTGGACAATTGGTTCTGTCATAAGCTCGCCTTGCTGGGAATTCTATGACGAGAAATTGTAGTCTTTGCTTTCATCAATTTTGTACTAAATGACATTTTTATTTTGTAAACCTTCAAAACCCATAGTATATACTTTCTAATACAGGAAGCAAGACTTTTATTATCCAAGCTGTTTTAGTTCATGAGAACCTTTTGTTGTTGTCTCTTTGATGATTAGTTAGGCAATTTTCATTTACCCCTTTTTTACATGGAGACATTCATTGCTGCCATCTAGCATCTTGGGTCATTACTGCAGCACACAAGTCCTTATACAGAACTCTTGTTCTATTAACAAGTTTGTATCAGAGAAAAGTACTAACATAAGTAATAGATAGCTATATACTATTCCACTAGAAAAGAATATATGTGCCAAAGAAGTGAGTTGAGTCCTTGTCTGCCCTTCTCTCTCCTTATGAATTATACCATGTATTGACCATGAATTGTCCATCCGTACAGAGAGCTGGTCCTGTTGCAGAGACTGAGTGAATTGTCAGCTGCTAGTAATCAGCTCACATATCTTCCTGCAGGTTAGAGCCTACATTTTACATACCTGACAGAGAAACATTGGGAACTGTTGCAAGTCTTGTATTTTTGCAAAGGCAATTACAGATGCAAAGAATGATATGAATAAAGTTGTTCAATATGTGTGGGTGCATAATAAAGGAAAGAACAATTATATGGTTAATACACAATACACAATAGTTAATTGTTTGTGGTGGTTTTTGCGTCCACTGTTTTTGCAGTGATCTATCATGCACCACAAACTCAAACATACCACAAACATGTCCAGTACTACTGTATGGCTTCAACCATGAACCTTATTTAAAAAACACTATGACCATCTCCTTTTCCCTCATATCATAAAATTGAGTCCTTGTAAAATTATTTACAGTAATGTTTATTGTCCAAATTACATGAAAATATTATTCCAAACTTTAGACTAATATGCAAGTCTCAGACATTCTGCATATCCACTGCTCAATCTTCAAACTTAAGAGAGTAAAGAATGACAAAACTTTCCACTTTTCCAGACCTGGGCTGGACTGACTCCCTACAGTATGTGTACGTGGACAAAAATGCTAACCTCCGAAGTATTCCTGTCAGCCTGTGGTTGAAAGTGGTGGGCTGCAATGGGTAGGTTGTCTTCTGTGTGTGTGTGTTTTTTTCAACTTGTGTCATGATAGTACATTGTCAAGACCATACATAGGTTAATTATTTGATTCTGTTACAGTGGTATTCTAAATATTACAAGAAAAACCGTCCCTCAGTATTTGCTTTCCCCATGAGCTGACACGGTAAGTCTGTCGGCTGTGGGTTCCGACATGACCGGTCACACGTGCCGGCGTCACGGCGGGCGGGATCTCGGGGGTCAGAGGTCAAGCGAGGTTGTTTTTTCAGACACGGTGTTGGGATTGTTGGAAATGCTGGTACAAATGTACATATGTACCAGAACCAACGTCAGTAAGTTTGTGAGCTTCACATGTTATGTTACAGGCCACAAAGTAATGAAAATGTCTTTTAACTTTTCTACAGGTTTCATACGTTTGTTTTCCATAATTATAGATTAACCTTTAGCCCACTGTAGAAGCCATTTGGCTATCAAATATCTATTGGGTTAGGCAGCATGGAGAAGGTTAATGTCGATCCAAAAAGAATTTCCATCAAATCTTTTAAAAGAATTTATCCTTGGAGTATGATAATTAATTTCTTCTGACAAGCCTATCTTTTTATGTGTCAGCATAAAACTCTTGGAAACATCCAGCGGTGAATAAATTATGAATTATATGTATATATGTTCCACCTGTATTCATTTTGTATTTGAAGCACTCCCTGACCTAACCCAATGTTTGTAAAGAGGTTACTTTTAATCCAGAGCAAAGAACACATTGAGTGTATCAAGAGTTACTGCTCAGCCGATGCAAGGACCACTTGTGTTACTTTGCCTTGCAACTACTACATAAGCCTTCTCTTCCATCCCACTTTTATAAACCACAAGTGCCTCAGTAGTACTTCAGCCTCAGACTCCCCCTACTTGACCCAGTCTGACTGTCACAGGCTAATACAAATGATGGTGACTGCCATGACATTGTGGGCTGGGTCCATTTGGGCAAGAAATCACAGGACTTGTCCATTCGATCCTGAAATTAATGTTGAAATAACAACCGGAAGTATGTAAAAAATTGCTAGGACATACAAATGTGATACAACCCATGCAGGGCATGCCCTCCACAATAGTGGTGATTGTATGTCGATAATAAAGCTTTTTCAGTGGTACTTTTGCCTAAAGTTCCCTTAACTGTAAGCTGGAAGTTTGGTTCTTTCCGTGTGTGGATTTGAAACAATTCTAGATCATATTTTCAAGCTTTGAATGCTATTTGTTTTTCGGAGTGTGGCCGAAAGTATCTGACATGAAGCACGTTGTTATGTTGATATGTGGATGAAAATTACAGGACAGGGGGTATCAGAAGTTTCGGATGTAGGGAGGGACGTGTGGGTGAGGCCGAGCCCAGTCCTGGAGGCGTGACAGTGACGGATGGATGGTGTGACTGGGTGGGGAGTACATGTCCTGCCGTAATCCCCCAGAGTACCATGTGTTACTGCTACACTGTCAGCACATGCTCCGCTGGGAAGGGCTTGTACTTGCCCTTCAAGAGAGGGCTGGTCAGCACTTCATGATATCCTGCAACAGAATACATGTACATGGGCAGGGGGTCTGCAGAACTTTTTTCTGTAACCCGTTGTTGAGCTGTTTCGATTCTACGTTCTTTACGTAAGATTTTGCATAGAGTGTTTGATCAGCAGGTGGTCAAATCTAAGGAACATTGGAGATGTTTCTAAATTTGCTGTAATGTATAATGATTTATATCACACCTGGGCTGCAGTAATGTTCGATATGGGTGTTCTGCCCTGTGTGATAACTAGCGGTATCACACAGGGATCTATTTGGTTATCACACAGGCTTCCAAATGCTCCATAGAACAATTTGAACGCATTTTGCCTGCACTGCATGTTCCGTTTTTTAAAACTGGAGTAACGGATTTGGACATTGAATTTGCATTGTAGAATTTTTTATTCAGGGACACCAAAAGTTGGAAGTTCTTGGAACATTTCACATTCAAAATGTGTGTTTTCTTGGGTGGGTAATTTTTTATTTTTTTTGGCAAATAATATACACAGTGTAGTACATGTATTCCCGTTACAGCATATAACATAACTTTAAATAAGACTAAACATATCTCACCTGCATACTCTATACACAGGTGTGGTGTTAAGAGTCTAACTGAAGAAGATGACAAGACTGAACGTAGGAACTCCTTCCAGTGTGGAAAGCACACCAGCGTGTTCTTCCCTCCAGAAATAAGGACCATCCGAGATGCCCCTGACCCCTGCCATGTATCATCATTGCTAGAACTGTCCCTGAGGGTGGTGCACGACAACCAAAGGCAAGGTGAGCCTGTGAAGACATCCATCAGTGTGGTCTATGGTGGCCTGATTCATATTGGTATTGATTGCTCCTGACAAAAGTAATGTGGATTTCTTTGCCATCATCAGCAAAAAAAAGTACTGAGGGTGATGGAGAAAATATTGAAAATAAGTGCAGGCGAATAGTGTGGGGCTGCTTCAAAAAGAAAATAGTAAATATTTTGCATCAACAGTTCTCAGTATGAAGAGTATGGTGTTTTCCAGGTGAGTGCCAAAGTTAAGAGAAATGCCATTAGGTGGCCTTGTACTTTGGGTTGTTGACTATCTAAAAGGTTCTGTCTTCGAATGTTGTTCTCACGTTGTGTCCTTGGGAAAAGCTCTTAACACCAGTGTCCTCACCTGACTTGGGTGAAAATGAGCGCATAGCTTTGGTCAGAAATGGAGTCAATAAATAGAGACCACTACACGTACATGTATTGCGGTTAGAAACTACTACACATATTGCGGTTACAGACCACACACATAATATTGAGCTTAGAGACCACTGCACATATTTAGTAGGGGTCCTTCCCTGTCTCGTAAAAAGTTGTCATCTTAAAAAGTATCCTGGGTGCCATCCTCCGTAGTTTCCTTATGTTGCTGGCTACCAGCGACATTAGGGAGCCAGCAGAAACTACGGAGGATGGCACCCAGGCTACTTAAAAAGGTGATAATTTCCTGAAATTGCAATAAAAGAAGATGAGAAGATAAGAAAAGTCTGTTGTTGTTCAGGTGTGGTGGTGAGCCAAGAGGACCTGCCCCCTGACCTGCACAGTCTGGTCACCCTTCCCAGTGGCCACTGCTGCCAGTGTTGCAGACCGTTCTTCACGCAGGTGTACGCCAAGTTCTACCCCGTCCGAGAACTCGACGCAGAAAACAACCTCCACGCTGGCAGTGAGTTGGTCTTCCTTGCGTCTTGCTGTTCAAAAACATGTCTGCTTTCTTACTCTCTACCGGTCAGATTTGTTTGATTAAAATGTACAGTACATACAGTATGGAAAATGGTTACTAGAGTACTGTGCTGAGTCACTACTGACTGAGGGAATTCAATGTCCTTTAACTTAAGTTGATATAATGGATTTATTTAAGGTCCTTGTAACAATTTTATGTGCAGACAAATAAGAACACGGACTGCTAGTAACATACTGTAGAAAATGAGAAAAAAGTCGTCAATCCTTGTGCACTTGTGTGTGCATTTAAGTTTTATAAGATATGTTATATATGTTATATATTGAATGTCTTTGACGGAAAATCTAATTCTAACTTAAATCAGCTACTATGAAATTTAATCGTCATGTTCTAAAAGTTGAAACATCAAATGGTGTTGCAATAAAAAGATTTTGTATATTACACATTGTATTAAGTATTGGAACCTGGTGCACCTTATACAGCTAACAGAGTCCCCTTCCAGGAAGAAGTGTTTTTTTCTAATGCTTTCATTAGTGTGATATCAGACTGACTATTAGGTTGGAAATCAAGTACCCCAGGCTACCTCTTTGTACTGTCAAGTAAGCCAATTATTGGACTGCTACGTATCCTCTGGCTAACTCTTCCACAGGAAGGCAGAATTTACTTACCGGTTGCTGCCAATTACACAACATGTCGCTTCAAGGAAAATCAGTCTTGTTTTCGATCTGGTTCAGTTATGATCCATTTCTCCATGGTTACTGCAGGCAGAATAGATTTTGCTCAATTTACAGATGAAAGGCAGCTTCTGCAGTCTTATTAAGAGAGTTTGCAACTTGTCAGGGATTAAAAAAAGGCTGAAGATGCGGCTTATTTATGTGTCCTTTCCGTATCTACATTATGATACCCCAGTATTGTACTTTCAACAATAAAATGTGAAATACAATTTTTGTAAAAAGTCATGATGTTTCTACAAGTCTGTGATTTACTGTTCTTACATTGTAGGTCTCACAAGTGCACTTTCCTCACTTTTAAGAATAGTAGCCAATGTTTCTTACAAATCAGTGTTAGTGTCTGGATATTATGCATTTAACCATATTCCTTGGAGTTGAAAATCAAACCTTCATTTACTCAAGAATAATTGTAAAGTGTTACATTGTCTATTAAATCTTAGCAATGAATTGGCAAACCCGTATTTGAGATGGATTTGGTTAAAGTTATGGACCAAACACATACATCACCATGGGATATTCATTAATCCAGTGGATATTTCTCTTCACAAATTGGAAGCAACATAAAAATGGTGCTAAATGTGAATTTCAATGGCATTCTAAGTCCAGAATACGTAAAACCCCTAATGGAGACCTCAGGGTCACACAAGTGCAATGTTCCTGTGCAGCAATTCCACAAACGGCATAGCTCGGGACACCAGATAGGCTCTGCAAGGTGGTTTGCAGGGGGTGGCAGTATCTGGATTCTCTGCCAGTAATGTCAAACATTTGCCATGACAAATGATGTCATGTGGCATCTGGCTGTGGAACCGTGCACTGATGAGGGTTTGCCTTGACCGCACATTGTCAGGCCGTTAGTGTTAGAACCTGATAGGTCGCCTGAATGTTGTTTTTCTGTAAAGTCATATCTAAATAACAGCTTCTCCGTAAAGCCTGTTCGAACTTGAATCATGTTTAAGCCGTTCATGTCCTAAGCTGCAAAACTTGCTTTATCCATACAAAAATGTAAGTATGGTTCGTTTGTTCGACCAAATTCTGACATATTCCACATTTCCAAGGTCATTGACCTTCCATGCTAAACACAATTTTTATCACTGAGGTTGGGTATGAATGGCACAGTTAAGATATCATCATTCTAACATTAATGACTGGGCCACCCCTTTATCAGATACATTTAGGAGACTGCAGAAGTGTATCTTTTTCCCAAGGTGTGGAGTTAGTTGCAATCATACATGTACGTCATTACATTAAGATGCAAAAGAACTTTATGCTAATTTTTAAAGTTTAGAATAAAAGTTTTAATGTTTAAAGATTAAAAGCCTTTAGTTTGAGTTAAAAGCAACTTTTTCTGGTATGTTTGACTGAAGTGTAACTCCCTATGACATCTGTTCTTCCCTCCTAGGGCAGAATTTTTTTGCACAAAAGGGACAAGTATTTCAACCATTCCATCCCACTTCACAGATAAAAACCGAAGCTTCACGACATGTTTTGTTGTCAACAGTGCCACAGAATTTAAAATCAAGCTGAAACCATTGGAAATAAACCATTTCAGGGGGTTTTGAAGTTCAAAATTTCCCAGTGCAACATGCCAACCAACCCCCAACCTTGGAATCCAGTAGACTACAGGACCAGTGCCTTTGATACTGACGCTCCCTCAAACTGAGAGGATGAAGAGAAATGTACAGCTGGAGAGCGAGGCCTGGGGCTGCAGTGCGGATCTGTGGAGTGACGTGTGCAGGACTCAGGGACACTGACCATGCTGGTGGTCCTGACCCCATGCCACAAGTGCTTCAACCAGCATAACTCCAGTCCATCGACCATCAGCAGTCTGGCTGCAGAATTTCCAGTCAACATTTTCCTCTAACAGTTGTACAGGATGATTTTTAATGCCCTTGACTTGAACAACAATACTCTAGATGTCTATTTTCAACTATTTAAATGAAAAAAAAATAGTCAAAATTAAAAACGATTACTTTTGGTTAGGTCATTAACCTTTGTGTCTTGGGCCAAACCAAATTATTTTGATGTTTTTTTTATTCTGTTCAAAATGATATCCCATGACCTTTAATTTCAACACAGTATCTTGGAAAGAATCCCTTTTAAAATCCTAACAAAAACATGCAGCAATTTTGATGATTATTACTATTACTGGTCACTAGATTGTTCTGGGAAAAAATGACACCCAAATGTGTGTAACCTAGACATAAGATAAATAGCAATAACATTTAATTTTGAAATTGAAATTGAATATTAGCCATCACCTATTGGCACAGCCCTTGCAACTGTGTTATTCACTTAACTATTCATTCATGTTGGATAAAACTATAATTTTTCTATCCCACTCCTGTTCACAATGACCCCTACACCAAGGTCACACATGCCCAAGTACCCTGTCACCTGTTACCCCTGACAACAGCTGTCACCTGCTGGTATGTCATCGGTCAGTCATTTCTAACGGAATACTAAATCATGTACAGTTTATGACATTGGAATGTGTACTTGTGTTTATTCTTGTCATAAAAGTGGATAATGAACTTATAAGCAGTTTTGTATTAATGTAGATAGCAACATGATACAACTAAAAGGAGCAAGAATTATTCAGTTTTGCTTGGATTTTTGACAAATTCTTGAGGAAATGCAGCAAAATTGCAGATTTTGTTTACCATAATGATTAAATGAACATGGGTTAAGAGAGTCAAAATCAGATTTCAATATTGCAAAAATAAGTATCACTCCAAGACCACTTGACATTGAACAATCCTCTGACCTGACTGGTGACCTCTTTGACATTTGCACATATGGAGCTAAAACATCATTTTGCAACATTTTATGGTTGGGAGTCTCTTAAATTTGCATATCTGAGCGTACTCGATAAGTGCAAATTACAGTGCAAATTAGATATTTCAGATGTTCAGAATCCAGGAAAATTATACTACTTGTAACATTAACTCTAAAGATGCTGTCATTTTCATTTCAAGTGTCCCTTGAAAGTATTGTTTGCTGCTGAGGGGTGGGGCCCCTGTGTTGCCATGGTAACATGGGTCTCCTGAAACCTGACCCGTTGTCTGCAGATGTTTATCCAGGGGGTACATCTGCTGTTTGGTTAACTTTTGGACCATCAGGACATGCCTGTCGTAAAGAGGAGAGTCCATGCCTCACAATGTACACTCACTGGTGTTACTTAATTTGTGTTCAAATACATGCATAACGTTATTTGACAAAAGTTTCTATGCCTACTTTGAATTCTTTTTGTAAATTAAAAAAATGCAATATACTTGTCCAGGATTTCTATACAGGTGTTGCTCAGTGTAGTGTCATTATGCACCTGTCACTAAAATCCCCTCCATCCATGTTTTTTACTCCAATGCAAGTACATGAACAGTTACTGTAAATCTGCAAATGTTTACATTATTCTTGTAGTTTGATTTTTGAATTTTAGCAGTGACCTGCCCACAGCAAAACTATGACGCAGCAGATTTGTTATTCCTTTGCGTTACTACTTTGTCCCTTGTTCATTGCACTTTACTGATTTCTAAGAAACTACTTCGACCAAAACAAAAATGGACCTTGTGCCAAACAGCCTGGGGCACCAGCTGTGGTAATTGCCTGCATCAAGTTGTAAGTCGACAGCCAATTAACTTAAGCTTAAGCCATGGCAATGGTACCAAACAAGAAAGTCTTGAAAACAAACTTGTGGTTTGTGTGTGACAATTATGACGCTGTTTTATATTCTATTATACATATACAACATTCTGAATTCCTAATCTTATTTGTTTTTGTTGAATTGTTTTGCAAAAGGTTCATAATATTATATATTAAGCATTAAATCAATTACTGGTAAAAACAACAGGCTGTTTTTTTGCCACATGGTTGTTTGTTTATACATGTTTTAGTACAGTTAAGTAGTATTTATACCTTGTAGTGTCTCTGTATCTGACACCTCTCCTAAATGCAGGACACTTAAACAGGAGCATGATTGTTTTGTTCCATTCTATTAAAAGTGCAGCTATACTCCTATAATAGCTTCATCAGTTAGGATCTATCCAATCCTTTATCTGACACTTTTAAGACATGGACTTTTAAGGGAAGATCTTCATTTAACTCTCAGTTTTCTGACTGTGTGGGCTGCAGATCTAAGGTGACCAACCTCTGCTTCAACACCCACACACAATTACACGTGTGCATGCATCCTCCTCTTGAATACTCATGTCAACGTCTCTTGACCTTTTGTACAAGAAATTCTACACTATTTTTGTGGCACTGCAGGTTTTTTCACTGAAGCGTACAGGATTTTCACTGAAGTGTACGAGCTGTCTGGCAGAAATTAGGGTCTGAGCAAACCCTGCTAATTATTCAGTTTAACGGCCACTTGTATTCATAATTGCCGCCCCAGCAGCCAAGTGATGATGACAGGCAGGGGCAGGCAGCCTGAGGAAGAATGTGTTTGATGTTGGGATAATGTTATGTCAGGGGTGAGGTTAGATCAACCCTGACCCCCTATCACATGTTGCCAGGGTGTGTCCCTGGGGACAACAACAAGCAGGGGTGTGTCATCTGCCTGCCCTGATGTCTCACTTCACCAGCCAACTCCTCTCCTGGGTCTGAAACACAGAGTCACTCACAGGTGGATACTGCAGTACCAAGACTCGGTGGTGCAGCATAGGGGGCGTGCATGGAAGACAAACTTCTACTTCTATATGCACAGTTCTCCATCCACTAACTGTGTTTTAATAGCGTATTCAGTACTTTTCACATCCTGACTTGTTTTTGTCAGCAATTTTTATACAAATATCAAAATAAAGGGTACTAACAATGAAAGCCTTACCGGTAAATGTTTTGTTCTCTCATCACATGTAACATCTACTCAGGTTCTGCTTAAGCCTTTTGTTTACCTAATAGTATCCTATACATGTTACAATAAATATGGGCCCAAGACCACCAGTAGCATTTAGGATTTTGATACACTTCGCCACCCCACATAATAGTGCAACTAAAACAGATATCTCATTAAAAGTTTTGAATTTTTAAATATCAAAAAATATGTGCCTTGGTATGATATGATGGAATGCTGATTAAAAAAAACTGCAACATGATTTTTCAACAATTAATACCTTCACCTGCAGCTCTCTATCATTCGTATGAAATATGACATGTAGATACGGGGATTTGCTTACAAATCTCTGGTCCATACACAGTAAAGCATATGTCAGGACAAAGTCA